GAAAAAATAGTGAATTAAGTATAAATCGTGTTAAAATGTAAATAAAAAATGCATTTAAAAAAAAAACAGAAGTTCCCGGTATGTATAGTTAAACATATTAATATATAAATGGTTAAAAAAAATAATTGAAATATATATATATATATATATATATATATGCATACTTGTTGTTCAACATCTGCAAAAAACTTGGTGTTGATTTTCTTGCTAATAATTTGCATTCTTGTATAATCTTTCTTTGCCAAAGTTAATCGCATTTGTTCTAAAATAAAATCTGTTTTTTCCCTTTTCTCCATTGATCCAAATGTTTCTACCTTATATATATCAAATAAATGTATATCAATTATAACTATATAAACCATAAACCCCTCCCTCCTACAAAAATAATAATTAAAAAACCTGCAATTCTTGTAAAATATCAGCAGCCTCATTAATTTTGCCGTCTTCCTCTCTGATCTTGGATAATAAACGTGTCAATCTTGCACGTTCAACTTCTACATAAATCTATAGATATATATATACACACATACACATATGTATAAATAAATATAATATGACAGTATTATTGTTTGAAACAAAATCAATTTAATCTACACATACTTTTCCTTCAGTAACTGTACGCAAAGTATCGATTAACTCTAGTTTTGTTGGTTTATCTGGTGTATCATCAAGATAAGTCATGACTTCTTGAACCATTTTTGTGATTGCCTAAAATAATCGAATGAATTGAGATCAATTATTGGAGTGAATTCTCTTCTGATTCTTTCATTATTTCTTTTGTTGCTTGATAAAAAGGCATCTAATTTAATTAAAAAGAATATTTGTACCTGTTTCAATTGTCCATGCTTCTTTGAGAGTAATATTACATATTCATTTAATAATTTCCAGTCCCTTGCCTGATAACATAATTTAACAATGTGAACTAATACACGAGTAGAAGAAGCTAAATCAGCTGCCTAAATTTCAAAAAATTAAATTTTATAATAATTGAATGAAATAACTTTTTTTCCTCCAAAAATAATGAAAAGTAAATACCTGACGTGTTTGCTTTTCAAGTCCCAATAACTGTTCTAAAGCTTCTGAAAGAAGCCCTTGCTATATTGAATAAAATGTTAAATTAGATTTATTTTATTTAATTCAAATCTCATATATATACCGTGGCCAATGTCTCAGTTTCTGGTAACTGTTTATCAACAAGTTGCGTAAAGTCTTGTTCAGGGTTCTCTAATTTTCCTTCAGACATG